CGGGCAGGGGGTGCGGGGCTGGCTAGAGACGGGGCTGGCTGTGGGCAGGGCAGGGGGTGTGGGGCTGGTGCGGGCAGGGGGCTGCAGGCAGGGCAGGGGGTGCAGGGCTGGTGCGGGCAGGGCAGGGGGTGCAGCAGGGGCTGGCTGCGGGCAGGGGCTCCCCTGCTTCTACCGCCCCGACCTTTAAATAGCTGCCGGAGCCCTGGGGAAGCAGCGGAGCTCCAGGGGCTATTTAAAGGACCAGAGCGGCAGTGGCAGCTGGAACCCCGGCCCTTTAAATAGCCGCCGGAGCCCCCCCGCGACCCCAGGGCTCTGGGGGCTATTTAAAGGGCCTGGGGCTCCCCTGCTTCTACCGCCCCGGACTTTTAAATAGCCGAGGGAGCCCTGGGGCAGCCGGCCGCCCCGGTATGGCGGCGTACCGGCAGCAAGGGCGCAGGGCCCTTTTAGGCGCAGGGCCCAATTCAGGGGAATCGCCTGAATCGGCCTAAAGCCGGCCCTGGTGATAACAAGAACAAAAAAGGGAGTCTAGAGTTCCCTAGGGCCCATCATCTGATCAAAAGTCTAGTGACGGGCTATGAATGAGTTTAGCTCTCAAATTATAAAATTCCTTCATCATTGGGCCTTGTGATCACTCTCAACAATGAAGGGATTCAAATGTACCGAGCTAATTTCTTTCACGGCCCCCTTGTTTCAATCCAAATACTTTTTACGGGCTTGGTCCCTCCCTTAGTGAGACACTCCCAGTTAGCACTGAAGCTGCGAGTCCTTCATGATAAAACGGGGCTATTCGGGATAAGATGCTTTGTTTTGCAAAAGACAATGTTGAGGAGAGGCCAATTCTGAATGGTGGGGCTCAGACATGTGCTGGATGATGCGGAGACTGCCAGTTTAATTTCATTCGAAGAAAATACGGGAATAGTTTCCCCAAGGTTGCAGGAAATGGAGACCTGAGTGACAAATCTTGAAGATACGGACCCAGCACCTCCCTTCATGTGCTAAAAGCTGCAGGAGTTGAGCTGTTTGAGGTGAAATCTCAGTGAGCATCTCCTTGCAAAGATCTCCCCATATCATCATGTCAGGCGCCCCTCCACCGGTGGAAAAGGCTGCCATGCAGAGGGTCTGTGGGGGACTACAGCCACTGTACCTCCACACTGGCTCTGACCAGGGCCACCCAGAGGGGGGGGGGGCAAGTGGGGCAATTTGCCCCAGGCCCCACAGGGCCCTCCACAAGAATATAGTATTCTATAGTATTGCAACTTTTTTTTATGGAAGGGGCCCCCCAAATTGCTTTGCCCCAGGCCCCCTGAGTCCTCTGGGCAGCCCTGGCTCTGACCCCTGGCAGCAGCCACCTGGCTCCCAGATATTGCTATTCAAGTGTCCCCCTGGCCTGGCAGACTCTGTGGAAGAGCTGATAGAGCATGGAGCTGTCGTATTTTCACTGAAGATTCGGTGGGGTTCGCATTCCTGCTCAGCTCAGACCCCAGGCCACTCACTGCTACAGAGGATAAAAAATTTTAAAGGCGGCAGTGGACATGTTGGAGAACAGAATAAAGGTTCAGACATG